GAAGAAGAAATAGAGGAAATAGAAGAATATATATAAAAAGTATAGGTTTCTATTCATTTCTTAGTTTATGAATTTCTACAAAGCAGTGTTCCTCAATTAAAGAATTGTTTATCTTATAATTTATAGAATGCTATCCATCGAAAATAATTTCTTAAAAAATCTTAAATCTTTATTAAAAAACTTTCATTGTTTCTCTCAAAGCTTTTTTAATAGGTTATCCTAATATATACTACTAAATTGTAATACTTTAATTAATACTATTTTATAAAACATACTTCATTTTCTATAGCTATGAAACTTTAAAAAAATAAATGATTAAATCATTGAACATATAAAATAAGAAATTTAAGCGATTGAGAAATACTGCTATCATATATCTTTTGAACTCTCCGTCAAATTGACTCGTTGTGGAATGTTGTTTGTTCGACTATTTAAGTCGCTATATAGGCAGAATTATGTCATATGTAAAATAAGAACAATGCACAGGTCAATCTTTTTTACATATCCGGACTTATTATGGATTTCAAAATATGAAACTTATAATCAATAAACGCCGTATTAACATTTTGATAGAACATTATTCTATTATATAATAAATTCATCTACAGTATAAATACACATCTGCAGTCTTAATATAAATATACCGCCACGCGCTAAAGCTAAATTAAATAATAAAATCATAGACATATTATAAATATTCATAATATTCTCAGATAGAAAATATCAAGAATATAATATTATCCCCTTTACAATTAGAATATTAAAACAACTATTAAAATATATAATTTGCCGTTTTGTAGAATCAATGACTATTCTTAAATATAAATATAATCGATGATAATAAAGCTTCAAAGCGAGTGGAGAAAGAACAGGAAGACAAGAAAGAACAAAAAATTGTTCTCGTAATTACGTTGATTTTATGAGCAATCTGGAGATATCATATATATGTATATTTTATATATATATAAAATATATATATATATATAGTACTGTCTGAATTTGTATATTAATCTGTTAGTAAAAATTGATACACGGAAAGAATTATTTCTTAAAATTTATCCTGAAAATATAGTAGTTATGATACAATACAATATCTTTTAAATGTTTTTATCATGTACTTCAGTAAAATTAGTCAAACTTGTTTTATATTTTATTGTAGTTTTAATGAATGTGAGAGATTACATAAAAATTCTTCGAAATATAATGTTGTCCCACGATTATCATATTTTCATGATAAATTTTAAGATATAATTCTTTCCGTGAAATAATTTTTCAATAAAATGGAAGACTATTAGGATTTCCGAAGTATCATAAGAGGTATCATTGTGAGCTGGAAAAGTTAGAAAACTCATGGATCTTTTGAAATACATGATAAAATAACATTAACTATATTAAAATTTAAATAAGCCAAAGAAAGTTCGGTCCGGCACCGCGAAATATAATAGATTATCCAAGTACTATACTTTTCAACTTAACTCAGAATAAAAAAACACGGAACACATTAGATTACAATGCCATAAAACACGAAACTTCCTTTAAAAAATCTCTTCTGCTGCCCTGGTGCTTATCAGTTTTATTTTGATAATATTGTATGTATAAATATAAATAATTTTTAATAAAATAAAAAATAACGTATATATTATAATAGACATTTAAAAATCTTTTTTCATTGTACGTAAAATATATGTATGTATATGCTCTTTTTTATAATATGTTTATATAATATATACTCGGCTAAATTCCCAGAGGAACGCGCGATTAGATATACACGCTTGTGCTCTCGCATATCAAATTTCCTAGAGAACAAAAATTAGATCCTCTTTGTAAATATTATTCCTCGTGCGCGCGATGTCGTATTTAATAATACAAAAATAAAAATACACGATAGTATTACTTTGAACACGAGACAAGGCAGCTTTCATGATTCACGTTCTATCCTGTTCTCTACTTGCAATCATGTATATTATATAAAATAATGTAATTGAATATGTTAATCACATGTACAATTATTATTATTTATAATTACTTAAAAAATTCTTACATAAAGAAAATCGATTTAAATATTTCTGTTTAACGTAAAACAATGAAAGTGTCCAAAAGAATTCTCGTGTCCAACTTTTCAATAAAATCGCAAATATATTTTTATTTTATGTTAAAAATCTAAGGGCTGCAATAAGACTTTTGTATAATATACTAGATTGTTAACGATTATATTCAAAATAAAGTTAAATTCTTTATTTCAATTCAATCGTAAAATTGTACAAATTTAATATCTAAATATTG